AAATCTGGTGCGCGTTGCTATTTATCTCGTCCTGTTCTCCTTTCGCTCCCCTTCTGTTGGAGAAAAGTAAAATGGAAGGACTAAGAAAAGTAATCCAAAAAAAGAAGCAATCTAGGAAGTATAATCTAGAGAAGAAGAATTAATCTAGGGAATGTTGCACCTTTCCATGTTTCTGAGATTTTCCACGAAATGTTTAGCTCGTGCATTTTTACCCTCATCCATTGCTTGAGAAGTCATTTGCCCTCTAACACGTAATTTCAGGGTATTTGCAACAAGACTAGTAACTGTCAGACGTGCAAGCAGAATTTGTCGGATTGTGTTGGTCATTTTGGCTATATCGATCTTGCCATGCCAGTATTCCATGTGGGCTTCTTCCGCCTCATCATACAGATGTTGCAGTGTGTTTGCAAGGTACGGTATTTTTGGTACGATGGAATGCGGTACCTTCGGCAAAGACACGGTAGGATACGGTATCTTACAAGATGCTGCACTGTATTTGTAGGATACGGTATTCTTGCAAAGATACGGCGAACTACTGTATCTTTACAAGGTGCAGTAAGGTACGGTATTCCCCACTTGCTCAAGTTATCGTTGCAGTTGCTTCGGTCGTGTTTCAAAGGAAATAATTCCTTTACGATCGATTGATTCGTTTCGATGGTAAATTGTTACTAACACGTAACAAGGGAAAAATTATTTTCAAATTACTTCTCAAGAAAATGCTATGAAATGTAGTATTTGGCGTTTTGCCGCTGAGATTTTCGCTACTCGCGATATCTTAACGCAAGGGGCTGCCTCTGTCTCAGAGGAAGCACCGTTCAGAAGAAATTTTTGATCTTAATTTTTTGTTACTCGGTTTGGAGTTATTCCTGAAAGCATAATTTCCAACATCATTGTACCCCTTATTTGCAGTACTGTTCGGCATTGCTACTAACCGGCGAGCAGAAGCAATCATTTCTGCGTCAAGTGAATAGCACAAATCTGGATTATTTGCGCCGAAAAGCACTCCATAAGCGAATTGTGGCTGCGAGCAAAAAAATATCTGTTTGTGCTCGATGCGGCCATCGAAACGGTACTTTTGAGTTTTTACTTAATTATTTTATTTTTTGAGTTTTTACTTAATTTTTATACATTTATATTAGGAACGAGGAATATGATAACTCGAAAATACGTACTGTAAACATTACGCAATCTGTAATGGAACTGATGAGTAAAATTGGTCACAGCAGGGAAGGGCTGATTTGTAATTGTTACATTAGATGTTTAATACTTGCATTATTATCTTCCATAACATTCTGTTCACTGCTAAAATGCATTACACAATTAATTTAATTGTAACTTCATTAACTTCAGTTACCACAATCGTCGTACTGACCAAGTCCAGTTGTGGTAATGGTAAGAACTGTATACGACTTAATGGACCGAAACATTTCTTAACATTATAATAATCTCACAAATTTTCTGATTTT